GTAAATAAACCCAAGTAACTCTACTGTAATCATCAACCAAGGTTAAAAAATACTTAAAACCGTCAATTGTAGGCTCATGAAAAGGGCCACAAACATCAACATGTATAAGATCGAAAGGTGTTTGAGATATATGATTAGAGAATGGATAAGGTAAAGTCTTCTGTTTTGCCAAAGGACAAACAATACAGTGTTGAGAAGTAGTAGTAGGAATAAAACTAAGTACAGAAGATCCTAAAACTTTGATCTTCATATTGGAGGGATGACCCAAGCGAAAATGCCAAAGATCGACAGAAGAAGCCTTGAGAGCAGTGCACATAGTGGAAAACAGGGAAGAGGAAACAAAAGATGGCTTCGGGAGTTCCAAAACATACAGGTTATGCACCTGTTTACCCGTGCCAATGGTCGAGGCCAGAGTATGGTCCTGAATAATAAAAGAAGTACCATTAAAAGACACAGAAAGAGAGATGTTTTTTGGTAAGAGAACTGATGTTTAGCATATTGTATTTGAAATCAGGAAGGTATAAGACAGAAGTGAGTGTTAAGTCTGGAAGTAAATGGGACTGAGCCAGATTCAGAAACGGTGATGTGATAGAAGCACCAGTAGGTAAAGAGATCGAGATCGTTGGAACAACATGAATTTCAGAGAATAAAGTTTGGTCACAACAAATATGACAACTCGCACCGCTATCTAAAATCCATATCACAAGCAAAAATTTTAGATTTGGAGATAAGGCAGATAAGATGAAAGGAGGAATGGTACCTGAAGATAAAGGAGGAGAAGAGGAGGAAGCAACATAACCTGAAGCCGAAGGAGAAGAGCCATGTGACTTGAGTTGTGAGGTGTACTAAGCCAGCAATTCCTTGGCATGCGCCAGCTGAGTTCTCATGTCGAGCACATCATCAGATCCAGGAGACTGATTCGGAGGATGCAAGCTTCCAGATCCCACAATATTGACAGATCTGTGCTGGCGATCGAAACTAGGGTTTCGAGCGTTTAAGGGGGCATATTTGGGAAAAAATCGCGGAGTTGGAAGCAAAGGAGCAGGGTTGTGATAACCAGGTGGAAAGCCATGCAGATAATAGCATCGGGCCACAGTATCGCCCAACATCAAGATAGACGATGAGGCTAGCGATTTCAGGGCTCACGGCATTGGTTAGCCATGTGCAGACCATGTCATTGGTTCGGGACCAAAGACCTGCGTCAGGATGATCGGCATGAGGCTTCAGAACGGTACCAAAAACAAATCCCATTTTGTTTTTGGCATTGAGGGTTTTGAGAAAAGCACGAGACTAGATGTTGTAGTTGGATTCACCTTGGAGTTTTTCAAGGACAAGCTGAAGGTTTGAGGAATCCACAGCATGAAGATACAGAGGGCTAGAATAAAGATCTGAAACTGGGTTTGAAACAGGAGGAGGAAGAGGTGTTTCGGCAGGAGGATCAGAGTCCACCGATGCCTGAGAAGCAGTTGATTCGGCCATGAAGAGAAAAGGAACAAAAGATGAAGAAGAACAGAGGAAGCAGATGTGGAGATCAAAGATGGAGCTCTGATACCATAACAAGGAAGGAAAATCGAGAGATAGTGTTTGGTAAAATTTCCTTCTTACTTCTTCATTTACAGGGAATATTACAAAAATACCTTTAAATGTCGATTTCACTTACATCACATACCCTTCAAAAAAAAAACTTCAAACAAAAACTGTAAAAGAATGAAAAGACATCGTTACCCCTTTTAAAAAATACACGTGTCAACATCTGAAGGAAAAAGACCAAATATTGGGAAGTTACTAAATTAAAAAAATTTGAAAAACCAAACAGTTTTTTTTTGCCCCTTTTCGACAGACACTTTCATTTCTTCATAGTGTCGTTCCTTCTTCTTCATTTTCTCTTCACTCTGATTTTTCTGTGCGATTTTTCTGTGCGATTTTTCTGTACGATTTCGTCAAACTCGTCAAATTTTCACGAAGAATGGCTTCGTCTTCATCATCTTCGGCCCCCTCTTCGGACCCTACTTGCGAAGACCTCCAGGTATAGTTTTTTAACTCCGCAAAAATCAAATTTTTTAGAGTTTCGGGTATACATTGAGATTCGGTTTTAGATTTTCTATTAAGTTTTCGTTAAGAATAGGGTTTGAAATAAAAATTTGAAAAACTATGGTTTGAATGATAAATTGTTACTGAAATATCGAAATAGGGTTTTCGGATTGGGTGAGAAACAGTGTTTTGTGAAAAAGACGGATAGAAATCGAGTCACGATGATATTGTCGACAGTCGGATGCACTAAAACATAGATTAATGGTCATGGTAGATATTAGTTAAACTTAGCGCACCCGTCAAACAAGTCAAACTATTCGAGTCTCAAAAATGTTCAAACTCGTCAAACAAGTCGGAGTTTGACGAGTTTGACGAGTTTGATAATGAGTGTTAAATTTGTTTTTGCAGGTACCTTTTGTGTATGATTTTAAGGACATTCATAT